AGAACCGAAGTGAGAAAAGGAGTCAGGAAGTGATAAAACAAAATCCCCATGGGAGTATGTGTTGACAATGTTTTTCACATTGAAGTACAAGTTCACCTCTGTTGGAGGCCAGAAAGAATGAGGCCTTTGGGTCATCTCTGCTCATCGCATTTTGTGTCAAAATATGCTTTCTATTAAAAGAATAGTTCAACATTTTGGGAAATGTGCTCATATGTACAATAAAGACGAAGGTACAAAAGCAGCTGATTAATTGGCAGTTTCTGTTAGCCAAAAAAAGATTCTGCACATATATTCCCACGTTAATGTACAATCTGTTGTTTTTAGACTATCATTTCTTTATGGAGCAAATAAGAAGAAGAAAAAGAAGAAGAAAGAATACATGCTTTATTGACATTTCTTTTTTTATTTAAACAAATAAGATAAATTGTGTGCGTCGAAAGGAGCCAGTTGAGGTGGTTCGGGCACCTAGTAAGGACGCCACCTGGGCGCCTCCTTAGGGAGGTCTTCCAGGCACGTCCAGCTGGGAAGAGACCAAGGGGTAGACCTAGGACCAGGTGGAGGGATTATATCTCTTCGCTGGCCTGGGAGCGCCTTGGGATCCCCCAGTCAGAGCTGGTTGATGTGGCCAGGGAAAAGAAAGTTTGGGGCTCTCTGCTGGAACTGCTACCTCCGCGACCCGACCACGGATAAGCGGGAGAAGATGGATGGATGGATGGATGGATGTGTGCATAAGAGGTACTGGTGCTGGTTTTTAGTCTCTGGGCTAAGCTAAGGATTCAAGGATTCAAGGCTTTGATTGTCATTTGTACAGAGCTACAGTGTAGATTATGTCAATGAAAAACTTAGGTCACAGCTAAGCTAAGGTCACAGCTAAGCTAAGCTAACCTTCGTATTTAATGTACAGACATGGAATTGGTATCAGTTTTCTTGATTAACTTAAATGTAATTATCTCTAATATTAGGCAGAACATTTCAGTTGAAAAGCTGAAACAAATAAATACACAGTCAAATCAAATGATTGCTAATAGACTGTCAAATGATGAGTGTCTTTTGTTCAGTAGATAAAGAAATTCTCTCCTGTGCTGATACTAAAAAAAACTCTCCTGTTTCAGAAAGTAGAAATGTCATTTTTGCTGTTTGCTGTGAGGGGGAGAAGTTTGCAAGAGATTTACAGATTCAGATTTAGTTTGCAAACTTTAGGCTCAGCAATATCTGCATGGACAAGGTTTAAATAAGTAAAGTGGATAAGGAAAAAGTGCAGAGGATTTGAGATTTGAGATTGAATTTGGATGGCAGATCTGTGAACATAGAGCCCATGGCAATGTCCTGTGGGCTCCCACGCAGCCAGAAGCCAACTCGCTGAGTGGGAGTGAGACAGACTGATTGAAATTCGCCTCAAAGCGCCGCTCTGCCCTCGCTGACATGCAGAGGGGAGACTTCACCCGATTACTTTATGAGGTGAAGGCACTCACTTCCATTGGACTGTGATGTGCTGTTACTTCACTGACTGGTAGATACCTAGATCTGTGGGAGTGTGTGTTTCCCATAGGAAGACAAGTGAGAGTCATGCAGGGGAACAAACAGTAAAGAAGGAGAGAATGAGAAGAGTGAGGATACCGCTGATAGTAAGAACAGACAAAACAGTGTTTTTTAAAATAATTTTGTTGGGTGCTTTATCATGTCAGAAAATATTTTTTGGCAGCCTGCAAAATTAATTTAGTTTTGCAGACTGCCAAAAATGATTAATTTAATTATCTGGCAATTATTTCCTACAAAAAATGTATCTCAGTTGCTTATTTGCTTTCAGATCGACAAGCGAGTTATTCATCCTTACTCATGTGGAAGATGTGAAAACCGTTATATGGCAGGACATAGTTTTACATAGATTTGAAATTTTGCAATGGAATATTTCCTTTTTTGAATCTACCTTTCTTTAGGATAACACCAAAAATGATTGCAATCAAACTTCTCTACCTCTAGGGACTTTTCACTCATGAACAATTAGAGAGTGTGAAAGAGAAGTTCCCGTGACCCTGGCAACCTTATTAACTCTGTTTATTATCATCCAGAAGTAGTTTACCTGATCTCGCAGTGGCTGGATGAAAAGCACATTTCCTATGCTGTTCAGTCAGTTCCTACTTTTCAACCAACTGGGAATTATCTAATTTCATCCTTCTAGTTTATTTATTTTCCCTGAAAAACAGAACATAAACACCTTTTATTGGGAGTAGGGAGTTCATACAGGGCTCCTCATAAAAGTATGGTTTAGATTAGAGCGCTGTGTGTGAATGTGAGCGAGCGAGGGGAGAAGATGCAGACAGTGGTGGCACAGCTGATTCTATCACAGGGTCTACTTCCTCTCCACAGGATTTCTGCTTCCTGTTGTGTTGCCATGGTGCTGCACACAAAAGAGGACAAGCTTCTCTTCTCCAGGAAGCCATAAATAATTGATTGGCAAGTGGCTTAATCAGCCCTGAGGCAGCCTAGCAATTCCACCGCTAATTCCACAGCTGGCTATAAATAACTCATTACGCTAATTATGGTATGTGAGCACACAGCTAGCCTGCGAGCGCAAACACAGTCAAGCATGACTACTGCGGGTTCAAACATGGTGTCCGTATGGCAATGCTCAAGTTATAAACGTCCAGCAGCAGCATGCAGTGAGCACCACTGCTAAGATGGAGTGAGAGGAGCCTGGAAACTTTTTTAAACCGAATGCCCTGTTTATGTTTACTAAAGATAAGCTGCTCGCTTCCCCTCCTGCTTGACAAGGACAGTGGATGTGATTCTCTATGACACCAAACTAACAGAACTCTCTAACATGACAGGCATCTCCTGCTGAGACGTTGACACATCTCAATCCCACTCTCATTTTGATGGAGCCTGTCCTCCCGACAGCCGGCAGCGACAAGAGGACTCAGATGATGGTAAAGCAGAAGGAGAAGCACTTAAGAGACTTGGGAGAGGTCTTCCTCCTCTGGGCAAAGCAATAATGACCTTACTGTCTCTGTCTATGTCAATAGCACTCCAGTGTCCATCTATTTCAATCACATCCAGACTTCCTGCTAATGACAGGAAGTGCTGATAATGCACAGGAAATAGTCACAACACACTGTGAAAGGCTGCATTTTGGAACATTCTCCCACCTTCAGATGTTTACAGCCTGCTGAAGACTCAAGAAGAGACACACAAACACAAAACATGCTGACGTCAACCACTACATTTAATGGATGGTTAAGAATGGTGGGCGATCAAACCAAATGCAGCACACATATGAACAAATACGGAGCTTTAAGAACAGTTAGTTCCTCAGGGCAAAGTGGAGAGCATGTGAGGACTCTATTATAATCGCCAACACTAATGCATTCTTCCTCCACAGCATTACAAGTTCGCCTACTCTTCACCATTCACCACTCTCACTTCTCGTTCACTTTAAATACACAAAGTTCCATAAAGAGACAATTTAAAGATCTTGAGGCAATATCTCTTGCCTCTGTGAAGAGTGGCCCAGGAACACAGTGCGCCAGGGTAGGATTTTCACGGCGGCCATGACGGCCATGGCCGTCGTAGCCCCTCGGTCTGGCCGTTATGCCCCACAAATAATTGTACGTCCTACGGCCACCATGGCCTGTGTGCCCCTGATACTGTTAAAATCTCGAAGTTGTTTTAAAAGCGTCAGAACAGTGGTTTCTGAACTGCATTATGCTGCGTTCACAACGGACGCGATGCGAATATTCGCATTGCTCTAACCGCTGGAGTTTCACCGCGGCTGTCAGCTGTTTACTCCTGTCATTCAAACAGGACGCGGGGGAGGGGCTTATTTCCATGTAAATACTGTGGTGGAAACCAACTACGACAAAATTAACCTATTATACAGTATATCCTATACAGTGATTTAATTGTAAAACACGTTTCAAAATGATGCTGAAGTAACAACATACTGA